ATAAATCACTCAGGGGACTAAAAGTACTTCTGCCCATTCTATTTATGCATGACTTTCACACATAGGTAACTTTTATAATAAAGGCATAACCTGAAATTCTTATTGGATTCACACACACACACACACACACACACACACACGGCTACTACAGCAATGAACCAGAAGATACACAAGATGGCCAGTTCATCCACACAGCAGCAAAAGCAGAAAGTTCTTCGCCAGCTTCTCTTACATCTTGTACATTGCACTTTCGAAAGCCAGCAACACCTCAGACATCCGAAGATACTTAAAATGATAAAACTTTAGGCTGAGCAAATGATGCCATTATAGGCACTTTGCCAAGGTGACACTCACTTGACATTTACTGAACATGGTGATTTCTCTGTATTACCTGCATTCAGCTATTTCCATGAAAGTTAATTTTGTCAATCATTCCAGTTTGCAGCTGGACTATGACAGCACAGCCAGCTCCTACCCCTGGGCTAAATGTGAGACCAGAGGGCCCGCTTTCCACGTCTCAGTGAAGTTATATACAGCATCCCCTGTCATTTTCAGTGTGCAGATGATAAATGTCACTCTCACTACTGACAAATCAAGCCAGGAAACAAAAATGTCCTAAATATGTGTTGATTCCCCGTCACCCGCGTGGAGACACAGGAAGAGCGAAGCAGGGTGGGGGAGGGGGCTCGCCCCAACTCCGGTTAGATTATTTGTCTTGTACTATGACTGGCCACCTAAAGGAGTGAAATTAAAAGGCAAAAAGGTAATTGATAAGATCCTCGTTTTCTAGGAAGTATGCAATGATCAGTTCAGAGCAGCTGAACAAGGTAGGTCAAGTCAGCTGAGCTGAATACGGATTTCAGTTCCGACCGTGTGCACTGGGGTGGGCTTGGGCAATTTTCTTAAGGTCTCTAAGCTTGAGTTTGTGCATGGGTAAGCAAGCGAGAACTGTCTTTATGACATGAGATGGACCGAGGTTTCCACAAAACATTTCAGAGAATGTTTCACAGTGAGAGCCTAGCATGTGCCACATTCAAGGAATGCCAGGTACAAGGATTAAATAGGATGCTTATCTTTAATGGGGAACTTAACAGAACACGTCTGTCTGTCTGTCTATCTAGATTCGGAACAAAGAAAGAAGGGGCACATAGTTCAGTTCTTTCTATTACAGACTAGGAAAAACACATGGGTAATAAGTAAGTATGTCAATATGTGTAACTTAAAATTCCAAAGTAATCAAGCCTTCTTATTTTCATCCTTTCAGTAAAAATTATTCTCGGAGAATAGGACAAACAGGCACCTCGCCATTCAATTAATACTGAAACACATACCTGAGCTCACTCTAGAGCTAAACCACTGAGAAAGAATGCCCTAATTGTTTTGCCTAGATTTACTGAATTAGAGTCACTTTCATATGGGGAAATTTAGTAGCAAGTAATTTGAGAGAAAAACTTAAGTGCCTTAAAGATGAGGACCAGAGGCATACAGGTAGAAATGACAGGGTATATTCTTCTCCTTTTGATGAATTTGATAAGCATTCTTTGGATGATCAAAATTTAATAAAACATTTTTAACATGCTGCTGATAATATTAAATTCTGAAGTGAATTCTGGGGTACTTTACAAAACTTGGGGGGATGAAAAGATACATTAGTGAAGCAAGCACAGATGCCAAATCTCAGCTCTCCCATACAAAGAAATATAGTCACTAAAGTCCTGCATAATTAGAGCCAATTTGTTACCTTATTAAAGAAAAGGTAAAAATTAGGTTTATGTGTGACCTGCATACCGACCATGGGACTTTAAGGGCAATAGAAATGAAAACCCACCACAATATGTGTGATGTACTCTGTAAAACACTTGAAGGATGTACACAACCTGTTTTCCTATATTTTATTTGCACTTCTAATTGCCATTATTAAAATTAGTTTTCTAAAAATAGGTATAAGTGATTCTTAAAATTTTAAACTTCACACTCCTCCAAACACATTGTATGACACCTGTACCACTCTCCCTGTTTTAAACAGAACTAAAAGTCAGAATCCAGGAAGGAGAAAGCAACCACAGAGAAACATGGAGTTATGTGAGCACATGAGATGCTACCTACCCCACCGAGAAAGAGAATTTCCTCTAAGCCTTAACATGCTGAAGAGATGCTTGAGTGAGCAAGACAGAGCAAGCCTGAGACCTGGATTCTGGACTAATTCAAGACAATGGAAGGCAAACAGTGACCAGGTGAAGAGCAGTTCTAAGAAATGGCAAAAAACGAGGTTTGGCCTGACCAGGCACATCAGTGTGAGCCTTTTGTGTTTAAGGAGAAAGACTGAGAAGCACCATGAAAAACAGAGAGACGTAGGAGGCTAAGGCAGGGAAACCTAGACCACAGTCTTGCAGCTGGTGAAGGCGAGGCGAGAGAGGCCCTGAGGATTAATGAAAGATTAGAGGAGTCAGAGGAACAGGTATTCCTAGCCACGAAAATAAGAAAAGAGTGTAAAAAATTTTAGGTTTGAGCCGGAAGGTCTAGCTAGCTAGGGAAAAACAGATGGCAGAAGGAAACAAATTTTAATGTAAAACGAATTTAAGATTATCTGGAAAGTTTATGGCATCATTAAATCTAATTATTACTCTGAAAATCCCACGTATTGGAAAGACTAACAGAATTTCCCAGGTGTCTACTTTATAAACTCAGGATAGTTTTCCTGCTTTGGCCTTTGTTGGCTTTATACTCAATTTACAATTGGTCCTCAGACAATCCACTCTTCAATTCCCTGAAGCTAGTTAATAGAAGCATTCCATTTTCATCTAACAGTGATGGAATCATTTTCCAGAAGTATTCCAAGGAGACTCTGAAGGGCCAAAAATGAACTTAAATATTTGAGAACTTTTTCTACTCCAAGTTACTGAGATAACTTGTCTTTCTTAGAGTAATAAACAGCACACGTGCCCATTAACATTTCAGTGTATTACATAAGTAATTCAGATTATTTTACCTCTGGGTCGCATATTTTTCTCATGAAAACTATTTCAACTTAAATGTAGTGGCAAAGGGGATAGATGAATCCTTCAAGAAAAGTTACCTCTTTGGGTTCCGTCTGTATCTAATCACAGTTACACTGTTTTGAGCGGGACTACTGTTGGATTCAAAATGTTTAGGCTACTTATACTGGTTGTCTTGAGATCATCAAAATGAGTTTGTCGAATTAAGCATGAATTTAGGCAAAAACAAATGTGTAGCTAATGAAACTAAGGGGGGAAAAAGGTAACATCTACCACCAAGAGGTACATTCTAGTTCAATAAAAATCCACACGTGTAGTTAACATGTCTTATTAGAAAATACTGAACTTTGTTTCATCCACAGAACAGTAAGCAGCTGCCATAACTATTTCCTATGTATTAGTCTTGCTAATAAATATTGGTAAACATTAGCCAAGCAAGATGTTACATAATCTTCTCTACCAGAAATGGTAGTTTACATAGCTAATGCAAAAGGCATACACTTCTATAGTTTCCGTTTTTTAAACCAGTTGACTTTTTACCCAATCTCTAATCCCTGAATCACCAAGAACCATTTTTTTTTTTACTACCATCCCAAATTCGTCTCTCTTCATAGCCCTGTTCTCCCCAAGGCAGTGTGTCACAAAACCCAGCAGCACAAAGGCCATTGAATCCAGCCATCCAAGGCACTGCATTTTATTTCATTTAAAGCCATTAACAATTATCCATGTCCATTACAAGCTGAACTGATTTGGTTCAGATATGTTTTCGAAGTTAAGTCTAAGGCATTTGCAGCAACATAAAAACGGTACACTAACACTCCTGTGTATCAGCCAAAGGAAGTATTATTGGAAAACACTAATAATGCATCTTTGCACACTTAGCCAGTTATGGCACCCAGGAACCACGAGCCACAAAGGCATTCAGGTCACAGTATTGTCCTGTGACCTCATGGATCCACACTCTGCAACATCAGCATCAGGACGACTAATGATGTCTAAACCCCATGCCGAAGAACAAGGAAAATGTCTGACTTAAGGCTGAGAAGCACTTTGGCTTGGGGTAGAACAAGTGGAAATGTGTGCAATAAAGATGAGAAGCTCTGGTATTGTACTGACCATGGTACAAGCATTTGATCGAACTTCCTTACTTTACACCATTATTTATGGACCAAGTATATCTTAGTGTGGAAACTGCAGTGTAGCGACCCATACTCAAAGTACAGTTTCCATTTACTAGAGAAAACACACTCAACACAGGATATACTCCACATGAAAGCAGTTATAAATACTTCTATGTCTGGCCGAGGCAAAAACTTTTACAACAACTGGCAAACGCTTTTTCTTTAATAAATTCTTTGGTAATAAACAGATCTTTAGTGATATTTATTTGTAGATTATTGACTGATTTTGGTGTCTGCCCTGTACCCCTGATCTCCCAGAGAGGGTAAAGTTTATTATCTAGGTTACAGCTCACAGAACACAGCTGAATCAATTTACTTTGCTTTAATGAAAAGCAATTACAAAATGAAAATACATCTTTAGGTAGAAGATGGACTATATTGTCCATCTTGAAAGCTACTCCGGTACACTTTGAGGGCATCTTTGTCTTTTAAAAATCTCAAATTCAGGCGTTCTTTAAAGGACACTGAAATACAAACTCCAACACTGGTGTATGTCTTCCCAAGGTGAGATGTTCTTTCTGTATTCACTGATCCGCAGAGTCCTGAGTTAAGCAAAGCAGAATGAACAAGTTACGGCCATGCTATCGTATGATAACTTCCTATCACTTTAGCAAAGCAGAGAAGGCCTGGCAAGTGAGCCTGCCAACCATGGGCAAAGCAGTTCAAACAAAGAGGATTTGTAATTTGTGAGACAATTACAAATCAATTAAGGAAGTTAGCTATGGTGGATGAAGTCATGGCATCAATTATATGGACATATATGGAAATAAAATAGAAAGCTACAGAAACTTTGAGATGACGATTTAAAAACTACATGAAATTTTCGAAGGAGACTAGCCCAAAGGAGAAAATGCATATTTACATAAATATAAAGACTATGAAACAAAGCTGGATATGATGCTACAAGCACTTAATCCCAGTACTCAGGAGGCTGACACAGGATTATTAACACCCATTCTCTGGTAGAAAAGGATACCATTTTTTTTAAAGATTTATTTATTTATTTTATGTATATGAGGACACTGTAGCTGTCTTCAGACACACCAAAAGAGGGCATCAGATCCTATTACAGATGGTTGTGAGCCACTATGTAGTTGCTGGGAATTGAATTCAGGACTTCTGGAAGAGCAATCAGTGCTCTTAACCACTGAGCCATTTCTCCAGCCCAAGATACCATTACTTTTGTATAAGTCTATATTTTCTCCTAAAACTGTGTAAACAAGTATATTCAAGCACACAGTGAACTGGGCCTTTTATGAATCTGAAAAAAAACAAGAGTAAGGTTTAATATTAAAAATAACCTTTTTACTATCATTTAGAAGTAACTTACAGTTTTTCTGTACCGGGGGACATTGTTTTCTATGCCGTTGCTATCATCTGATTTCCTGTGTCAAAAACAAAAAGGAAACACCAGATGTTCACGATGTATAAAATTAAGTCAGTGTTGTATGCACATCATAGCTGAGTGTTAACGCTAAAATGTCAGTGTAGACTGAATTTACTCTTCCTAACATTGTTCTACTTAAAAATGATGATTTTCTTTATCCCATTGCTTAGGGAAAACCTATTGCCACAGGCATGGTAACAAAGACTTGGTCTATGCAGAGGAAGGTTATTCCCAAGCAATAGGGCCATGGGCATATATGCAACAGTAACTCACATATTGTTCTCAAACAAGCAAGATAACAGTCAGGAGCTTTGGCAGTTTGTATAAGACAGATGCCATAATTCGTTGGCTATTTCATTAAATTGGAAGCTATATGTGGCCTCTTGCATCAGAGCAAAACTACAAGTATGTGCTTTAGATTCTTAAGCATGTCTGCATGAGAAAGTCACCAAACACAGTGACTAGCAGTTGAGACGTTGTAGGCAGGCCTGTGGTTCATGGTTCCTGTCAACCAGTAAAGTCAGCCATCCAACCATGTATATCACATGTATGGAGTATAGATGTCCTGGATGGTCAGACGATGAATCAAATAAATGACTTAGTCTTCTTCTTAAGAGAAGTCATTAGTTTTGATATCGTATTTTTTTTTTATTTTTTATTACAATTTATTTTTTCTCAAATCGTAATTCATTCACACAGGGGTTATAAACACAGAAAGGCAGGATGTGGGGAAGGGAATGGCACTGGAGTGTGGGTGATCAGGGGGAATACAGATACCTTCAGAACCGGGTATCGGCTGGGTGAAGGTTCAGGGGACAAGTCACTATGACTCTGCCTATGACTCACTTGTCCTTATCTAAGTTGGTATTGTCTGCCAAGGCTACCAAGGTCTATGACTACTCAGCCTTGTACATTTGCACAAAATCTGCCTGTTTACATTAGCTTATAGCCATGTGTTTCAATGTTTTTCCACTGAGACCCAAGATTTGTATACCCATATACATGTATGACAGGCCTATTGCTGATTTTAGGCCTATGGCTGATTTTAGGCCTTCAGTGTGTAACCAGGGCTGCCCCTGACATCTCCTCCCTTCTCTAAGTATAGAAGGGCTGTGGCAATTCTAAACTTGCAAAGGCAAAGATAGAGGCCTGACCTCCAGTATTTGAAGGGGACCTTGTAATGGCTCCAGTCCCCCTGTCGTTGTCCAGTGAGGCATGAGGGCCATATCCATCCCGATGTCTTTTTCCTGGAGAGGGGATACTTTTGACATCAACCCCTATGCAGTCAGGCTTGTCCCTCAGGGAACCCAGATAGATATTTTTATCTTTTATTTATATTCCCCTGCAGTGCTTAGCCTCGCAGCCTAAGCAAGAATTCAGATCGACTGTCAGAGGGGGTTCTGGGTGGCCCCTCTCTGCTTGGTCTAGGGGCAGAAGTCCCTGCTTTTAGGTTGGGTGGAGATGGGTTTTGGAAACACCCTGTATAAAGTAACAACCTCATCTTGAGTCTCGTGGTCCTCCATAGCTAACTTATGATAATGTATCTGAGTAGGTTTTTCTACCAAATTATTTATCTGTTGTATTACAGAGTTAGTCCGCCTATTTGAGGGCCAGGGACCAGCAGAAAAAAGCAAAAAGAACCCAAATAATGGTCCCAGGATGGGAGGAAATAGGGTTGACAACCTTGGAGAGGCTGAAAACCAATTCTTGTACCAGCATTCATCTGTCTCTCTCTCTGATTTTTCTTAGGGCCTTCAATACCTATTTCATGCTCTCTTTAACCCTCCTTGTGTTGTCTATGTAAAGGCAACCTTCTTCTTTAAGGGCTGTACACAGCCTTTTCTATTGTAATAGAGTAAATCAAATCCCATAAGGATCTTTGCGATTTTAGGAGGTCTCTTCAGACAGTGAAACAAGGGATTTCTTCAGATTAGTACTGTCAATCTCTAGCTGTTTGATGTTCTTGTCAGTGGCCCTTCAAAGGTCTGAGTAGTATAAGTTCGGAGGCCAGCATCTGGATTAGAACTTCTAACAGCAGACATCACAGGTGATTCATTTTTACCTGGGATGCTGCCTGAGTTAACGCTCCTGAGAGCCCCTCTTTCTCTCGGTTTTCTGGGGTTGGGTACGGAGCTGCCACCTGTGACCTGCTCTATGCTCGGGCCCAGACCAGAAGTCCCGTATTTTTATTTTTAAATCATTTTAAATAAGAAATTTAAAAGGGCAATGCATACCAAAACACACAGTGTATGTCAAATATATCAGACATGTAACATATGAAAATGTTTTCTGTGAAAAATTAATTAGTTCCTAACTAAATTCTAGAGTATCTAAAATGAATCACAGCAAGGGTTGATCTAATTGAACATTAAATACCCTTGTTAATTTATACCTAAATGACATTTTCAGTGACGGATGCAATGTAATGAAGGATGGAATACATGATCTGTCTTGTTTCAGTTTAAAGTAAAAGGCAACCTCGGTTTCGTATATTATGGATTGAGTCATGTTGACAATGCTTCTTAGGATGTTGGAGAGTAGCTGTAAGTGGGGTAAGCTGTGGAGATAGAAATTAAAGTACATGGAACTTGAAGTCCACTGTCAGTATAACAGTGGATGCAGCCCCAGGCCCAAGTGACTACACAGGAGTTGTCAGAGACACTGGGCATGTTGGGAGATGGGCAGACAAACAGATATCACAAGGGCACAGTACAACTATCATTACTTACATGAATGGCTGTCATACTTTTTATTATCAGAAAGATTTAAGAATTAAAGTTCAACTGATAATTTTAAGAGCATGCATCTTGTTGGTTCATTTTACCTCCTATGAATAAACTGGGTCCAAATGTCTCTTTACATACTTAGAATACTGCTACAAGTATGTAAAGAACAGAAGCCTGACATGGGCTATCCTCTGAGAGGCTCCACCCAGGAGCTGTCTCAGACAGATGCTGACACCCACAGTCAAACAGCAGATGGAGCCTGGGGACTCTTATTGAAGAATAGGAGGAAGAATTACGAGCCCCTAAGGAAATAGGAACTCTACAGGAAGACCAACCTGGACCCTTGAGGCTCTCAGAGACTGAACTATTAACCAAAAAACATACAAGAGCTGGACCTAGGTCTCCCTGTACATATAGAGCAGATGTGCAGCTTGGTTTTCATGTGGATCCCAAACAATCGCAATAGGGGCTATCTCAAAAGCTCTTGCATGTCTTCTTTCAATTTCTTGTTTCTAACTGCAAACATTTTACTTAATTTCATATTTATCAGCCTTTTACAAAAGTTAAAAAAATCAATTATAAATAATACTTACAGCTGTTCAATTTGTTCAAATTCTTTCCCATCATCTGTATGACAACAAATAGAAAAGATAAGGCGGTTAAGAACACAGTGCTACTCTTACACGTTCAATTCAACCTGCTCCTAAAATCCCTTTTCCACATAAAGGACAGATGCACCACCTTCAGTAGCTATGCCTCCCTCTGCTCCCTCTTAACAGGACACCAGACTTTGCCTGAATCTCTGATCAAGAACTGTTTGGCATCTTGGAATTTTTTTTCAAAACTGTGATGCCATTGAAGTTTGTGTGTGTGTGTGTGTGTGTGTGTTTAAAGAATTCTGTATTTATTTTGTGTATATGTGTACACTTTAGCTGTCTTCAGATACATCAGAAGAGGGCATCAGATCCCATTATAGATGGTTGTGAGACACCATGTGGTTGCTGGGAATTGAATTGCTGGGACCTATGGAAGAGCAGTCTGTGGTCTCACCACTGAGATAATCTCTAGCCTGCCACTGAAGTTTTTTTTTTTGTTTTCTTTTTTTTTGTTGTTGTTTTTTTTGGTTTTAAATCAGAAAATTAATACAGAACAAGCGACAATTTTCATCAAGGATTTCTCATCCAACAGATATGGGTTATTTATTTATTTATTTATTTATTTATTTATTTTGAGACAGGGTTTCTCTGTGTAGCCCTGGCTGTCCTGGAACTCACTGTGTAGACTAGGCTGGCCTTGAACTCAGAAATCCGCCTGCCTCTGCCTCCTAAGTGCTGGGATTAAAGGCATGCACCACCATTGCCCGGGCAGGTGTGGGTTTTAAATAACACTAATGCAAACTTGACTTTTGTATGATTTCAGAGTTGATGAAATAGTTTTTAAATGGAAATGGAGATAGAGCGTCATCATAAAGCACTTGACACAGAACAAGGCCAGAAGATCAATTCCCAGAACTTCTCACATAAAAGCCTGGTGTGGCAATGAACATTTGCAATCCCAGGGCAGGGACAGGGAAACAAGAGGAAACATGGAACTCAGTGGCCTGCCACTCTAGGCTAACGGGTGAGCACCAGGCCAATGAAAGACTATATGCCAAAATGAAGCAGACAGTGTTCTTAAGGATGACATTTAAGTCTGTGCTCCAACCTCCAAATACACATGCACACATGAGCACCAACACACACAGCAATCCCCCTGACTCAAATGATTAAGATGAATTATTTAAGTCATCATTTATGTTTAAGTAGTTTTTGTTTTGTTTTGCTTGGCTACACTGTGCTAAGCCACAGTACGCATCATAGTTAAGCGATAATTCAATAGAAAAAGTAAGAAATCTTACCTGGGTCATTCTTTTTCTTCTGTGTGTATACTTCACAAAGCAGAATAATGGCCACTAAGAGGATGACTTCAGCAATTATGGCGAGAAATGGCTTGAGGGGCACCATGAAACTCAGCACCACCAGCTCAACGAGTTCCTCACTCTCCCCTAACTGGAAGGCAGCACGACACCAGTAGGATCCTCCATCTTCCTCCAAAAGATGCTTTATCTTGAGCCTTGTTTCATTAGCATAGGAACCATTGATAGCATACTTATCATCCACGTGGACATCAATGGGAACCTAAGGCAAGAAGACATTAAAACCCTTACATCATGCGAAAAGACATACATGTCCCATGTGGTCTAATTCTGGGCAAGGCTGAAAGCAGGAGCCAAGAAAACCACTTACCAGAAAGGGGCATATTAAAATTTATGAGATATCATCTAAAATAGACCTTTAAAGTCACACACAGCAGGGTGTTGGTATTCCACCAGCAAGCAACAGGGAAAATTCTATTCAGCTGTGAGGATAGGGCCCTGAATGTCTAAACCTTCAAGTATTTGTCTAGGTCATCATTAGTAACTGTTAGGTAACAATTTAGGGCAGAAAAACACGTCTAGTCATCTTGGGTTTTCATTCGCATGTATGACTAGCCCTCCACAAACAAAGACAGACAGGCACAAAAGGAATAATACACCTCTAAAGACGTTATTCTAGTCATTCCCCTGAAGACATATCACTAATCTGACAGCACTAGTGCCCTACACTGATGGCCAGTTGCAGCTCCAGTGGCCAGCTCTCTGTGATGTCTTAGAGCCCTATTCTTCCCTTTCATGTCCCAGTTACTTTCTCTTCCAGGTAGACTGGCTTCTGAGACCTGCTGGGTTTTCTTCAGGCTCACAAACTCATACTTAGAAGCTGTTATACTTAATCTATTTAAATTAAATTTTATTCTCAGGACATTTGATGCCTTTACTACTCTATCACTTGCCTGAGATGTTCAATTAAGTGCTAATCTGCATATAAATGTTCTCAGAGGTTATTCAAGGAAGAACTCTCTGCAAATTCTGTATTTGGGAAGAGAAAAAAAAAGACGTTGCCCATCTCTATGTAGACAAGCAGCATGGCCTGTAATATTCATGACAAAAAACACCGTATGACTCAGAGACAATAAATCATAGGGCTAACGCTTAAGAAAGTTCAGAGCTAATTCTGACATAGATAATGACTTTCATTTTGAAACAGAACTTGACCTAAAATGTTAACCTGCAACCCCTTCCTTGGCCCTGTCTCACAGCTGATTATGGCCAGGCTCATTGCCAAATTAGGAGAATAATGATTCGTAGAGAAGGGCACAAGGATGCAGAAAAGGACATTCTATGACTTTAATATAAGTTGACTTAGGCTCCAGTTTGTCTGCTATCACAGCTGTATGGATTTATTAGGCTATCTATTCCAAATACCACAGCAGACATTTGTTTTTACAATTTATGTGTCAGAAACATTTCCAGCTACCTGTCCTAAAAAGCCATAATACAGAAGGCAGGGGATTCACTTAAGCTGACTCTAGTCATTTTCTTGAAGCATTAAAGCATTATCATTGTCACAGAACTAGACAGGCTCTGTTCCCTGCCTTTCTTCCAAAGTGCTCCATTTGTTTTGGGAAGAATTTAACACCTCATTAAAAGATTTGTTGCTTCATGTGCTTCACATAGAATTACAGCTTTTCTTCAATGGGATTTTAATTTGAATACTCAGGAGCACCAAGGCAAGGTAAGGGCACCCCTAGAGTAACATGTCCCAAGTTTTGAGCACTTTGAGATAATCTGGGAGAAGACAGGAAGCCAACGATAATTTATCCATTGGATATTCTTACTGTTTTCTTCCTATCTGCTCTGAAGTCAACTGTCTTAAAAAGCCCAAAAATGCAGCATTCCACTTCTTTCCAACGCCTACATCGCCTCGAAGGGCCAATGACCCAACGAAAACTAAGATCTAAGTTTAAGTGACCAAATTTCCCTTCGTTTTTTTCAAATGGTGATAGCACATTGCATCCTGTGTCAGATATTTCAGGAGACAAGATGGAAAAAGGGCCTGGCATTTTATTTTCTGTTTCCCAAGTTACTGGAACAAAGTAAGGCTTTGTTATTAAAGTTATTTCTATCCTCAGCAACTACAAATATTTTGGTTTTGCCTCGTTATAGAGTCTGAGATACTATCAAACTCTCTGTCCGTGACTTGAAAACATAGTGATCACCCTGTTTTACCTTCCCACAGGGCTGGGATTACAGGAGTATGTCCCTAGACCAGGCAAAGCTTCTCTCCTTTTTTTATTTTTAACTTTGTTTTGTAACAGAGCATTGCTATTCAGCCTTGGCTAGTCTGGTATGAAATGGTCCCATTTCTTTGGTCCAGGTTAAACACAAGGCAATCCTCCTGTCTGTTTCTTTAGTACTGGGATTACAATGTGCAAACAATCATGCCTATCCTGAAAATAATTTTTAATTTTCCTCCAAAGAATAAATTGCAAAACCTTAAAAAAAGTTGAGTATGAATTAATAAAGCACTCAGAGTTTCTTCACACATATAATATAATACCCTGGGAATACCCAATGACAACTCCATTTATCACTGTGGTTACTTGGTAATTACCAGTTAGAACAGAAATATCAATTTTCCTGAGAATTTTAAGTCAGCTATAATCTTATTTATGAACTAAAAGGTTTCTCGTTTTGTTTTCTTCAAATCAGAGGAAAAAAAAGCTCTTTTGTGTTTACACGTGTGTATGTCTGTCTGTAAGGGTGTGTTTACACGTGTGTATACCTGTAAGGGTGTGTATGTGTCGGGTATGTGGAGGTCACAGATATACATCCAGCACCTTCTGAAATTGCACTCCACTTTGTTTTTGAGAAAGTCTCTCGTTGAAACTGGAGTTCACTAGCAACGCTTGACTGGGAGGCCGGTAAGTCTCTGGGATCATCCTATCCCCATCTCCCTAAGGCTCGGATTAGAAGCGTGCCTCATTTTGTATATGGGTCCAGAGGATCCAAACTCTGGTCCTCTGACTTAAAGGGGAAGCAATTTCACCAAAGGAACTGTCTTCCTAGCCCCAGGAAATAGCATCTTACCTGTGCAGTTCCATTACTCTTGTACCAAGTCCAATTTAAAGGAAGACCATTTTGACATTCACACTTCAGCACAGTAGAATCTCCCACGTAAGTGATCAATGGCTTGTTTTTTCCATGAACTTTGGGTACTAAGAAAAAAAAATCAGAAAAATGTATATTGTTGAAACTGTTTAAGCAAAACAAATGTACTAAATTTATGGACATTTTTCCACTTTGTTCTCTCTATGCAATTTTGATTGTACACATAATGAGACCAACTTGTAGTCTTTAGGAGACATCAGCAGTAGTGGTTAATAGTGGACGGATGAATTCAATAGAATTGTTTGCAATGAACAAATGGAAGGAAAGCCTCCAGTGATTAAAACTCTAACCATTCCAAGTTTGCAACAAACTATTAAATGTTTGAGCTAAAATAAGAGGAGCTTCTTCTTCTCAAGGCTGTCATTTCTTCCCACTGACTGTGATACTGGAAGGGGTTCTTCAGAGCTTTACCCTTAAGTGCATGAATAAAGTGGCAACATTTCCAGGCTAGAAAATAGTCTTAATTGATGCAGCTTTGTAAAGAGCCAGCAGAGGTAGAGAAAGTGGTAACACAAAGGAACAAAAGAAAGTCAAAGGGGAACAGGGATGTGTCGTAATGTAGAGTACATGCCCGATGTACACAAAGCTCTGCACTGTACACCTGTATTGTACACCTGCACTATACATCAGCACCGTACACCTGCACTGTACCTACACTGTATACCTGCACTGTACACCTGCACCATATACCTGCACTGTACACCAGCACTGTACACCTGCTCTGTACACCTACACTGTACATCTG